TGAATAAAACATTGTTGATTTTCTTCTAGGCTTTGTTTTCCAGTTTAAAGGATTTTTGTCTTGTCTTGAGCTGCTGATAGGTTCATGTACCTACTATTTGAACAGAAACCCAACCTGTTTCCTGATTTTAAGTTTAAACATAGTTCCTTAGCATTTCTTTGATCTATTAAAGTTAAATCTGCTTTTCTTGAAATTAAAAAAATATAGTAAAAAATACATAATTAATGACTGTAGTAAACTACATAGCATCAGCTAGGTGCTACCTTATAGTACATTCATTCTACTCAGAGATTCATGCCTAAAGTCAGACATGTATTCATAGATATGTATATATCAGCACAGCTTGCTATTGAAAGTAGTTAGATTATTTAAGAAATTTTTTGAGTCAATAAAATGTGGGGGAATGGAAAAGGAATGGAAAACAACTGTGGACACCTGAGATAGTGTGGGAGGAGGGTAGGAAATGGCAGAGCGTGAGAAATAGGGGGAAAAATATATATGAAACTAGAAATGGAAAATTATTGACGATAACATGTATGATTATGCTACTATGCAGCATATTCTGGGTGGGAAATCACATTTTGTATGCTGTGGCAATGCTCAGTGAATGAATGTAAATTAATAAATTAAAAAAAGAAATTAAAAAATGAGTTACCTAAAAAAAAAAAAAGAGAGAGAAAAAAAAAGAAAAAGAAAAACATACTGGTTACATGTGTGTGCATGCCCAAAATCCCAAAAGGAAAAATAAAAACAATTAAATGGTAATGTATCAGGGTCTATAGACACAGCAAAAGGAGAACACAGAACAAATTCCATACTTCATTATTCATAAATATGAAAGAAAAATAAAGTGTCCAATTCCCAAACTTAGAGAAAGATAGTCTCTTGCTCACTCTGCTTTTTATATTTCAAAAAGAGGGAAGGGCTTGATAAAGAACAAAATTGATATATTAGAAGTAAAATGGTGGGTTAATAAATCAGAGCACTGAATCTTTGACAAAAATTAAAATGCACCAGTAAAGAAAGTTGACAACGAAAAGAGAGAGTAAGCATAAATCAAATATATGATATAAGAGGGAAATGAGAAGAAACATCAGAAACTACTTTGAATAATTCTACTCAATAAAATTTAAGAACCTAGATTATTTTGTAGAAAAATAAAAGTGATCGGAATGGATCCCACAAAAGATATAAAATAAAAACAGACCAGTTATCATACAGAGAGTGGTTGGAGAGTTATGCTCCATAAACGCCCCCTTCCAGATGGCTTCCAGGGGAATGCTGCCTCAATAGATGAGCGCCAATGCCATTTAGAATGTTCCAAGATCCAGGGGAAAAAAAAGGAAAATTGTCCATGTTATCTTGCTGAGGCAAACATAATATTGCTATCAGATTGATTAGCAGAATCCTCTGTACTGATATCTCAAAAGACTGACACTTTCATAGTATGTGATATATAGACAGCGCCTACAAATTCATTTTAGAAAGATAAACAACCCAGTGAAAAATGGACCAGGGATAGGAATAAAAGAAGAAATGATCCAAAAGGCCAATAAACATGCCTTCACTAATAGTCACAGAAATAAAAAAATAAAGTAGAAATTAGATATTTTTTTTCTTTTTAAAAAAGATGTTTTAAAAATAAAAAATTAAACATAAAAAAAGATGTTTTTTATTTATTATTATTATTTTTTTCACATGAATTCACTAGAGAGTGACAGAGAGAGAGAGAAAGAGAGAGAGGGAAAGTGAGAAAGCAAGCCGCCAGGTCTGGGACTTGAACAATCAGCCACATGGGAATTCCAGTGCCTCAACAACCAGGCCATCTCCTGGCTCCTAGATACTATTTCTTATTGATTAGAATAGAAAACAATTCAAAAGCCTGGCAAAAATCACCGCAGTAAAAAACCCGAAAGCGAGAAATCACCCCTCCCCCCCAGGGGGGATGGTCACGCCGCAATCCCTTCTCCTCCATTCTCCTCTTGGGATCTTGGGCACGCACACACACGCGCCCGTCTTGAGTTATAAGCCACCGCGTCCAAGATGCAAACCACGGTCGACTACATGGGAGTCCAGCGACATAGCCATTATGCTAACTGCTGGTCCCACTATTTTATACTCTTAATAAGATGATTTAATACAAAAATGTTAAACCTTTCAAATTAATCTATAAGTTCCATACAATCTTTATAAACTTCTTGTTGAATTTAACAAACTTATTACGTACATTAAAATTGTACTGCAAAATAAAGGCTTTGTGTAGATTAATCAACTTTAATAAAGACAAGTAGAAAGATGGACATATTTTATAGTGTACAGAGACATACTACAATAAAATCTGTTGTAGTAATCCAAAAATTGGATAGAAAAATGGAACAGAACAGTGCACCTGAAGACAGAATATATGAATTTTCAAAAGGTTTTACGGAAAACATATATTATTAGAACTATGTATAGATTTCAATTTGTTTTGAGAGATTTTTGCTATAGGGTGTGTGCACTCACTGGAGAGACAGAAAGACAGAAATCGAGAAATCACCCTCCAGGGGGGATGGCCACCCCACAATCTCTTCTCCATTCTCCTCTTGGGATCTTGGGCATACACACACACACACACCCAGTGTGAGTTTCAAGGCACGGGGTCCGGGTCTTGAACCAGGGACGACTACGTAGGAGTCCAGTGACATTACTATCACACCATCTGCTGGTCCCAAGATTTCAATGTTTTTTAACACTAAAATAAACTTGTACTTAAAATTCTATTTTCCATAAATTTTTGGAAGTTCTCACATATACTCTGTAGGTGATATAAATCAACGAAATAGCAGGGACCAGCAGTTGGTGTAATGGCTGTCACTGGACTCCCACGTAGTCCACTGTGGTTCGAGTCCCCGATCCGGTGGCTTAAACTCACGTCTGGTGCATGTGGGTGCGTGCCCAAGATCCTGAGAGGAGAAGGGGTTGCAGCATGACTATCTCCCTTGAGGGAGTGATTTCTCACTTTCTGTCTCTCTGTCTCTCTCTTACTTGTGAGCGCATGTGCCCTATAGCAAAAACCTCTCCCCCCCCAAAAAAAAATCAACAAAATAGCACATCTTAGTTAGAGAGTATTGAGGAAACTGGTGCACCATAAGGAGAAAAATAATACTTGATCCCTCTATAAAACTATGTACACAGGTGAATTCCAAATAGATTACAGACCTAAATGTGAAAAGTAAAACTATATACAGTTCAATGAAGAAAATGTAGGATACCTTTATAACCTAGAGACAAGAAAGTTTTTTTTTTCTTCCTTTTTTTTTCAAGAGATTTTTTGCTATAGGGTGTGTGCACTTGCCAGAGACAGAAAGCAAAAAATAATCTCTCGCCCCAAGAGGGCTGGCCACTCTCCAATCCCTTCTTCTCCATTCACTTCTTGGGATTTGGAGCATGCATACACATGTGTCTGGCATGAATTTCAAGCTGCTGGGTTTGAGGCTCAAATTGTGGTCGGCCATGTGGGAGTTCAGCACCTTAACTACTAAGCCACCTGCTGGCCCCGGAAAGTCTTCTTAAACAAAATGCCAAAGCACAAACTATAAGGCCAAAAGCTGAACAATTTGATTATGTCAATCTTAAATATTCTGTTCCACAAAGCATATTGTGGATAAAGCTCATTACAATGTCTACAGAATAGAATGTATTTATAATGCTTTAAATAAGTAATAGATAAACATCTAAAATATTCAAGGAATTCCTGTTAACCAACAAGAAAATACTGACTCTAGTAGAAAAATGGACAAAGGATATGAACAGGTAGGTAGTTTACAGGAAAACCCAATAAACAAACATTTAATGAAACGCTCAGATTCAAGTGCTAACGATAGAAATACAAAGTAAGACAACACAGTAGAATCCTATCTGTTTGAAAAATTCAGGTAGCTGGATGATACTGGGAAGGAGGTGGGCACAAAGTGACCCTCATATGTAGCTGGTGCTGGTACAACCTGTAGAGTCACGCGGGAGCAGAACCTGCCTGGCACTAACTTTCACTGCTAGCTACATGTACTTGATGGCCTCCGAACTTTTCTCCTAGGTATGCATTCCAAGGACACCCTCACAGAGGCACATGGTTTTGTGTGTGCGTGTGTGTTGTTTTTAACATAAATATATTTATTTGCATTAAAATGGTACATATGGGATGTATGAGAAAGGTTATGTGGGGTAAGAAGAAATGCGTGAATGCATGAATGTAATGAAAGGAGAAACTTGCACAGATTATTGATAAGGACTGAAGAGCATCAAGTCAGCACTCCTCACCTGACGTCTAGTGGTGGGGGGGATGGGATATAGTGGAGGAGGTGGTTTTAAACATGCTGGTGACATTTAAAACATGACAAGATAAAATCTTTCACATATTCAACCTAAAGGGAAAAAACAAGTTTAAGACAAAAAAGTAGGCTTGTTCAACATCTAACTTTATTATTATTATGTAATTTATCTTTTAGACTGTGTTGCAATCTACCTACTATGGCCTTGCACTTTGGACTATGGGTATGCTCCATCATGCCTGGCTCTTTTTTAGACAGGATCTAGCTACGCTGCTAAGGCCAGCTTCAAGCTCATAGTCTCTGTGTCTCTGGCTTGAGCTGCTGGAATCAGAGGTGTGTACAAATGTGACAGGCCTTCAGGATGGACCAGAAATTAAAGCCGGGCTTCCGATATGGTCCCAGCCTGCAAAGCACAGCATCTTAGCAGCACATGCTCCTATGGCTAGGCTGATATCTCCAACTTTAAATACCAGCAGACAAAAATGCCTCAGAGTTGTGAAAATAAAATCATTCTAAACTTGGGCAGCCAAGTAAGTTTCCTTTGTGTGAGGGCAACATAATAAAGATCTTCAGATATGCAGACACACAAAAACCACCATCCATGAATATTTCTTGAATTAAGGAAAACATTCAATAATTGTTTAAGTGTAAAACTAAAACCTTATCCTTAAGTCTAAAATGTAGAATTACCTTTTGCAGGAAGAGGACAATCCTTACAAGCATCTGGGCACGGAGTTCTTCCAAGGTAAACAATGTTCGGGGTGTTCGAATGAAAATTTTGGTCTTCCCATAAGCTACATCATCTTGAAAACCACACTGTTCAATCAGCTTCTTAACAGCCTCTTTGTCTGAAGGAAGGTCGTGGTTGGGCCAAGTAAATTCAGAGATCATCTTATACCTGGATGCAAAAAGAGCAGGGAACAGAAAAACCACATACATGGTCATCTCAATGGAAAAACCATCCAATAAAATTCAAGACACTTAATAGACAACAAAACAAAACCTTCTCAGCAAACTAGTAATAGAATTTCATTAGCCTGATAAAAGATGCAAACAATAACAATACCAAAAAGCTTTAATAAAATAAAACACTCCTTAATGATATCATCTCTCACTACTGGGGTGTCAGAAAAATCATGATGCATTTTTGCATAGAAAAACATTGTGATTTTTCCAACGACCTAATAAATTGTGGATAGAGGGAACCTCCTGCACCTGATACAAGCTATTCACTAAAAATTCACAGCAAATATCTTTCGTACAGGGGCAACCCTGGAAGCATTCTCTTTACAAACAGAAACAAGGTAAGGTTGACTCTATTATAGGATCTGGAGGTCTGGTCTGCACAGTGAGACCAAAAAATAAACCAGCAAATGACTGGGGAAGGAAAAAACAGTTTCTGCTTATGAACAATATGACTCTTCAAAGGACAACAAGTAGCTCGTTAGACAAATTATTATACTAAAAAGAAAATTAAAGTGTTGTATATAACATCAATGCACAAAAATTAACTGCATTTCTATATACAAATGGCCAACAGCTCCTTCGTACATGGGCCTCTCTTTTTAAAGAATTGATTTTATTTATTGTTACTATTATTATTTTTTAAATTTGACCAGAGAAAGAGAGAAAGGAAAAGTGAGAAAGAGAGCTGCCAGATCTGGGACTTGAACTGCGATCAGCCATGTGGGTGTCCAAACATCTAAACCACCACACCACCTGGTGGTCCCACATAGACCTCTCTCAAGTTAGTTCACTACACTGCAGCTTGTTTTATGAGCATGACCAAGATAAAAGTCACAGAGTCACATCACAGTCTTGTAGCCTAATCTCATAAGTGACTTCCTATCACTTGCCATATTCCATCTCGTTATCACCAAATCACTAGGTCCCGCCTACCCTTGAGGGGAAGAGGGTAAAAGGCTATACAGGGCATGAATATTTGGAGGTTGATGTCACAAGGCCACCTAGAAGGCTGCCTACCACAGGGTTTTGTTTTCCCCTTAAAGTTATTTAGTAAGTATAGTTCATTTTAGTAATTTTTCCTTTTTTTTTTTTTTTAAAGAGAGATTTTTTGCTATAGGGTACATGCACTTGTCAGAGAGACAGAGAGACAGCAAGAAATCACCCCACCCCTCAGGGAGGATAAACACGCCAAAATCCCTTCTCCTCCATTGTCTTCTCAGGACTTTGGGCATGAATGCACACGTGCCCGGCATGAGTTACAAGCTACTAGGACCAGAACTTGAACCATGGTCAGGCATGTGGGAGTCCATCAATGTAACCATTACACCATCTGCTGGTCCCAGTAATTTTTCCTCTTATACTGCATCTGAACTTTTTTTTTTTTTTTTTTTAAGGTTTTTGCCATAGGGTGTGTGTGTTCACTGGAGAGAGAGAGAGAGAGAGAGAGACAGAAAAAGGGAAAGTGAGAAATCACCCCCCAGTGATGATGGCCATGCTTCAATTCCTTCTCCTCCATTCTCTTCTCAGGATTTTGGGCATGCACGCACATGTGCCTGGCATGATTTTCAAGACACCGGGTCCAGGACTTGAATGACAGTAGGCTATGTGGGAGTCCAGTGCCTTAACCACCACAAGTCTGCTGGCCCCTTGTATCTGAATTTTAAGTCACTGTGAAAAAGACATTCTTTGTACTCTTGTTATAGAGTAATTCACCTATGTTTTCTTCTCCTATTTGCATGTTTTCATTTTTCATGTTTTGATCTTGGATCCATTTGGAATTTATTCTGGCATATAGTGTAGGGTATGAATCTACTAATAATTTTATCTTTTGACAAATGTCTATCCCATTGTTCCAACACTATTAAAATCCCATCCTCCCCCACTGTGATTTAATATATCCCCTTTATCATATACTAAACTTTCACACGTGCTTCAGTTTATTTCTGGACTTTCTCGTCTGCTTCATTGCACTGTCTATTCATCTGTGCATGGTTACCACATGGTTACCACAGGCTACAAGTGCATTTTAAAGTCTCTCTCCATTCTTTTCTAAAGGTCTTTCTAGATATTCTGGCATATAAATATATATATATATATATATATATATATTTTTTTTTCCATATGGACTTTAGAATCAAGTTTTATAATTCTGGGGGGGGGGAACCTAGCAAATAAACAAATAAAAACAAAAAAACCCCTAGATAATATATAGTTGCACTGAGCTAACATTCAATTAATTACATTTATATATGGCGTTCAGTTGTCCTATCTAAGAACAAGACATATCTTCTATTTGTTCAAGTCTACTCTGCTGTTCAGGAGTCTTTGAACATTGTCCCAGGGTTCTTGATATTCTTATTAAGATGATATATATATATTTTTTTTTGAGAGAGAGATTTTCGCTATAGGGCGCATGCGCTCGCCAGAAAGAGAGAGAGAAAGTGAGAAATCACCCCCCAGGAGGGATGACCATGCCACAGTCCCTTCTCCATTCTCCTCTAGGGATCTTGGGCACACATGCATATGCACCTGGTGTGAGTTTAAGACACTGGGTCGGGATTTGAACCGCAGTCGACTACATGGGAGTCAAGCACCATAGCCATTACACCAACGGCTGGTCCCAAGATGATAGATATTTAAGCAGCATCTGATAAAACTAGTTGCTCCCTTCCGTTGACATCTCACTGTTTCCTAGTTTCCATGACAGCCAATCTCCCTGGTTGCCTCCTGTTTCTCTAGATATTCCTTTTCAAGGTTATTGTCTGGAACTCTGGCAACTACTGTACCCTTAAATGTTGGAGGGTCCTAGGGTTTGGATCAGGGCTTCTCTGTGATCACTTTCCCCACATCATCTGACCTAGTCCTTCTACTTTAAATATGTTTAAAATACAAAAATAAAAAACATAAATATGCAAATACTGATATTTGTAAATATATAAAATATAAATTTATAAAATCATATTAGTCCACTCATTAATTTATTACCCCAGTCTAGCCTTTAGTTCTGAGCTTTGGACTTCTACATTCCATTCCTACCTAGGTCTTAGAGGCATCTTGAGCTTTTCTTTCAGTCTTGCCTATCTCAATTCACCCAGGTACTAAAGCCAGAATAATGGGAATAGTGTATTCTCTTCTCTACCATTATGTCTAATCCTTCATCAGATCCTATTGATCTCACCTCCAAAGTACTGGGTTGTCTGGAAAGTCATGATGCAGTTTTGCATAGACAAACATTGAAAAATATCTCATGACTTTCCCGGCCACCTAATATATTTTAAATCTAACAACTCTCCTCATCTTTCCTGCTGCAATCCTAACCTAAGACACATTCTAGTTCACTATAATATACTCCTGAATAGTTTCTACTTCCACTCCAATCCATTCTGCACACAACAGTCACAGTAGTTTTCTCCTCCTTTCTTACTGTACCCCCGCCCTTGTTTTTGGA